CGTCATAATGATATGCTGTGGCCAATTGAGGGCCGAATGTAATCGTATGGTTGTCATAAGGCCAAACGAGGGCTGGATGTAATTGTATAGTTGTGATAAGGCCAAATGCAATTTAACAACGATCTGTAGGATGGCCAAAAGTGGACCGAGTTAGATGAAGCAAATGTACGGTATTGCCAAATGAGGAGAATAAACATTAACAACTGCTATGGGATGGCATGTAATAGGATTAACTGTATTAATCACAGCCAGCAATATCACCTATGAGGCTGACAGTAACCTAAACAGTAGCATGTCTAATGTGGAATGTAATAATAACCACCCTTAACAATGTCACCTTATAGGCCGAATAACGACAGACCTGCAAATATAGCCAAAACAAGGCTTATTGTATAACTAAATCAGGCATGTGTTTTGCTTGATTGAGGGTCGGAAGTAACATAACTAGTGACTGACTGTCTAATGACAAATACAGACCTGTTAAAATGTTCAATAAATCCTTAATCTATGTTCAAGTCTGAATGCGGGTAAAACAATTTGGCCGAATGAGCTTCTGATATAATTGAAAGTAGACAATACAGTATGGTCGAATGGGGGCTGACACACATTAGAAAACAGTAATACAAGATGGCCAAATAAGGTATAAATATATTTATCAGAAATATGGCCAAATGAGGGCCTAAAAGCACTGCAAAATACATTTGTTTAGGAACAGCCAAATACTTGAAATACGGCATGGTCGAACAAGGGCCAAATGAGAATTTACTTACTCTTCGATGCATCTAGAACCGAGCCAAATGTAATGCTGAAAAGCCGAGGATGGACTGAACTTTACATGTGCTTGATGGCTGAACCTTTTGAATGTGAATATGGACCGAATCAAGGCTGAAGCAGTCTTAAAGTTATCACTTGTAGTGGCTGAACGAGGCCAGACTTACGAGCAGTACGTTTGTAGATAGTGAGTCGGAAGGCAATGCGTTCCTCAGGGCCAGAACGGGATGTTGTGTGTCAACTATGAATCAGCCGGAAAAGGCCCAGAGGAGGGGGTGGCCCAAGTCAAAATAGGTCAGGTAACCACACACACAATTACAGGCTCTGCCTTAATATATATTTATTTATTTATTATTTTTCACATCAATTTAAACCAGGTGTTGGTACACTAATTGGCTGAGTGTGTTTAACTGACTCACTCAGCCAATCCAGATCTTATACTAAATAGAACAATATACAGAGCAGTAGAGATACGGTGAATATATAAAAATTAAACTATTTAATTTTACTCTGTGAAGAAATAACCATATAAGAGAGTCAGTATTTAATTCACAAAAGTGCAGAGAAATCCTCAAATGAGCCAGCAAATTTATTTTTTATTTTAGAATGAATTGCAATACATTTGAACTTTTAAATGGAACCAGAACTTGGACTCATTAAAGGCTTTCCTCTTCTATGAGTTTTTCTGAAGGATACATAAGGTTATTTCTTTATAACATTAAACACTATTGTCTTTATTATGTTTTTTGTTTTTATTTTAAGATTGTTGTATGGTTACACTATTGCATTTGTTGTGTTTCTTTTTTTGTTTGTTGTATTACTATTTCTCTGCATATTGTTCTTATTTAACAAGGTATAACTGATAGTGCCAGGCATGGTGGCACCAGCATTTCAGAGTGTTCACAGACAATGGATTGATAAACAAAGGACATTGCACAACTGTGGGTTAAAACACTTTGTTAATGAGCAAGGTCAGATGAGTATGGTCAGACTCTTTCAAGTTGTCAGAAAGCCCACAAATGCTTTTTTTTTTTTTTTTTGGATGGGCTTAAGAGCCTTAATGACCTAGGGTATTTTTCACAGTAGGGTTAGAGCAATTCTGGCATTTTTCTTATGGGTTTTTTCAACTATGATTTCACTCTCTAATTTTTAAATGAGATGTATATAATATATAAATGTCCCTTGCACTCTTGCTATGAAGTATACTTGCCAGATGCCAATCTGAAGCTCAATGTACAAAACATGTAAGGATAGCTGCACTCTCAATCTTCTTAAAATATAAGCCTTTATTTCTTCACAATAGAAAAGAGTAACGTTTCAGTCCCCAATCAGAACTTTCCTCAGGACCATCCTAATTGAGGACTGAAACATTGATCTTTTTTAATGTGAATAAATAAAGTTTTATAAGGGCAACTATCCTTATACGTTATATATTTTATTATAAAAACTTCCTGATTTAGGATAGTAAATAAAACTAAAAATAAATGAACAGTTTTATATATAAAATGTTAAATAACGTGAATATAATTAGGGCAACGGATTTGTCTTCATTTACAGAGTATGTTAAATATTTTAAGCTATATTAGTAGTTACAGGTCAAAAAGGTCAGAATACCATTTCAAAGATAGCTTACTTTATTTAGAATTTGTTTCACTTCTAGGGTTTATAGCAGCCAGGAAAACCAAAATTACCAAAGAAAACTACCTATTTTTAGATAAAAATTTAGTTAACACAGTGCACAACAGGACAGTGCTAGTAATAGAAAGATATGTAATTACCTCTCTATGTCCATGGCTGCCAGTGATTCCACTGATCTCACTTGACTTTGCACATTGTGACAGACTACTAATACTCCTTGCACTCTCACAGGTTGGTCTTGTATTCTGGGAGCACTTACAGGCTGTGACATGACATCACACTATCTGTTTGTGCAGCAGATTGTGACCTCCACCCTCCCCCATAGAAAGGTAGGTAAAGGGGAGGAGGGCTGCCACAATTTTTAAAGGTAGAGGGAGAGTTTATCAAAATTATCTAGGGTTAGTTTTAGGCACATAATGCATGATTAGAGATTAACTTTTCATTAATATATCTAGTTATCTCTAGCATTATATTTAGATTTATGATTATTGATTACATTTATAGTTACAGTTGGGCATATTTTAGGGTTATGTAAAGTTATAGAATATAGGTTAGGATTTCAGTTAAAGATTAAGTATAGAATTTATATTATATAGGTATATTATACTTTTTGGATTGGTAGAAAAGTTAAGAATATATTTTATAGGTTACTATATATTTAATGTTAATGAGATAGTGCTTAGCGTTAGGGTTATTGACAGAAGTTAGGGATATAGTAAAAAATGTATGGGGTACTTAAAGTTAAACTTCAAATTGGAGCGGGAATTTTGATTGAGTTATAGGGGGAGATTAATCAAAGCATAAGCCATAGAAACCAATAGAATGTGTTACAACATTTTACACCTAAAACAACACCTATTTTGCCTCAATACATTTTCCCATAATATGGTAATATAAGGTCAAATTTAGGGTAAAGCATACTGAAGCATCGGGAGACTAGTGTTTAACTGTAGCAAATCCCCATCTTGAGCCAATCAGCAGCTCATCACAGAGGAGCATTCATGGTCCTGCTATCTTTGTAGGCCTGAACTCAGGAAGCACCTTTAGTGGCTGTTTGAGTGAAAGCTACAGGAGGTGATCTTAGAAATCTTAGTGAAAACACCTTTTCTCTGAGCTTGCAGGAACAGGCGTTATGCCACATAAGCACTACATTAAGTTGTATTGGTTCTGGCGACTCTCATGTCTGTTTAAACTATAACTAATGTGTTTAGAGATTAGCAAGTATAAAAACGTTGTAGTCATGGTCTATAATGTAGAATGTAAACTCTTTAAACACCCTCTGTTCATGCTCATCCAACTTGTCTTTTTGTAATTACTTATCTGTTAGTTCAGCTATTGTACACCACTGCAAAATTTTTGGGAACTGTATAGCTAATAATTGTTATATAGAGAGATCAGCTAAAATCAATTTATAGTGTCCCTCGGCCATGAAACTAAAGAAAGGGAAATCGAAACCAAATATGAAATATTCAATTCTAAGATTAATATGCTTTTTTTTTGCTTTATGAAACAAGCTATACTAGTTATGCATGTGTTTTATACATCAAATTTCAAGAAAGACAGCTGATGCAGCTTTATTTTGGAAATTGAATCACTGATTTTTCAGCGTGCTGAGAAACTGGCCTTTTATGTTTTTTTGCTTAAAAAATTGAAAATGGTTTCATGGCAGTAAGATACCAAAATTTCTAAATCACCTGACAAAACAAGCTGCAGTGAATGAAATGCCCATATGAATCTTTGGTGTATACTATTTCTTACACAACGATTATAGGTAGAACCCCACTTTACCTCACTTTGTTGGTTTTTTTTTGTTTTGTTTTTAGGTATGCATTATGTCAAACATTCCCTAAAGCAAGCATGTCAAACTCGCGGCCCACAAGGACCATTTTTGCGGCCCGGCAAGCCGCGAGTGCATGCTGGTGTTATAGCAGAGTAGGCACCTGCTTTTCCCATATTGCAGGTGCCTACTCTGCTAACACTTACCCAGCTGGGGAGGAGGGCCGCGAGGGAGCTCAGCTTTCCTCGCGCGCGCCTACTGAAGTGAAGCTGGGCACCCGGCATCACTAAACCGCGCGAGGGAGCAGGAAGGACCCGAGGGAGATGCCCCCATTGGCTCCATGAGGTAAGAAGCAATAAAGAAAAGTATGTGTGTGTGTAAGTGTGTGTGTGAGTGTGTCTGTTAGTATGTGTGTGTCTGTCAGTGAGTATGTGTGTGTGTCTGTCAGTGAGTATGTGTTTGTGTCTGTGTGTGTCTGCCAGTGTGTCTGTATGTGTGTGTGTCGGTCTGTGAGTATGTGTGTGTGTGCGGCCCACATAAACTTAAACCTTGTTTATGTGGCCTGTGTCACACTTTGAGTTTGACATGCTTGCCCTAAAGTGTAAGACTGTTTAAAATCACTGTGTATTTCCAGTCTACTAAATGTATCATGACTTATTTGATATTTGTTTACCTATTATAGAGAGTTAAAAAACATGTAGACACACATAAAATAATTATACAGAGTTAGAGAACACATAAGAACTTCATAAAATAATAATTAGATTTGTATGTACCATAACCAAACATCTTTAATTAAAGGTTACCCAACAATTCCACAGAAAACAGGCTTTCCTATCATAAATAATATATTTATTGCATATGGCTATTCAGACAGCATCCATGATCAATAAAGACTAAATACAATGCACTACTCTAGATCAACTCATATTTGCCTCTAGCAGCATCACATTTATCTTATTTTATATATATATATATACACATACACACACATATATACACACACACACACATCATGTACATAGGAAGACACTGCAAGATAAGTCTCTTTTGTCATACCACAATAGCAAGAAATATATTTAACATTTTGATATTCAGAAACAATTTGTACCCCGTAAAAAGAAAACACTGTTTATTAACTGTTAAGGTTACAATAGCAAAATATTTCAAGGGACTTTGTGACGGGGGATATGTACAAAGACTTAAATATACATTGTGGCATTTTTGCAAAAAAACTGTACATTTTGGTTGTATCGTGTAAACTAACTTTCAAATGTAAATATTGCATATGCCTTGAGTGAAATTTACAGCACTGAGCTAGATTTCAGTATTGTGATTTTTTTTTCTTTTAGCTCAACTATATTAATGCAATTATCAAGTGTTACAGAGACTTGTTTGCAATGTATACAGGTTCATAATTTTATCAAATATCAAACATTTTAGTCAGCAGGTACCAACATTCAGTGCCATCATAGGTCTTACGTAGCAAATATTATTTAATTTGGAAATGAAGCCAAAAATATCTTATAAAGTTTTGTAGTCTATACATTATAGATAAATATAAAACTATACATATTTAATAAGACCAATCCTTCAGTGGCCTATTCGTTGTTCTACGAAGCTATATTATGTCACCCTGCCTACAAGAACTAAACTACATAAGAAAAACCAAATCAAAAGTAGATATGAATTTACATTCATTTTTGTCTGATAACACAATCCTTATTAGACTTTTGTTTTATATAAGCAGGAAGACTCAGTGTTGCCAATAGGTATATTTGTAAAATCAAGAGACTTATGAAGAGGGTCTTGCAGTTCCATTGCTCTGTGGCCTTCATAAAACAGCCCTCGCTGTATAGACTCATTAGTACAGTGCAGGTAAAGGGGAGAAAATAGATTACATAGAAATCCTAATGTTTGGAAATCTGTTTAATAAATTGACATACCTGCAAACATTCCAGAATTGCCTTGTATTAGGACAGCTAATACAATAGCTAAATTCATGCCTATCCCCCCCAAACACATTTCGTTTATAGAGGGAACCCTTTTTCCATTTTCCACAGGTATGCGCATTACTCTTTGCTTTCCCCTTCGGGTCCTGATAAAATGGGGGAAAAGCCTCTTAGATTCACTATTATTGCAATAAAAATTTTATAAGAATCGTTTCACCCAAAAAAAAAAAAAAAAAACGAAATCCAATACAAATTGCGATAGTTACTGCAGTGTTTTTATTTATTTTTACATTTTTTTTCCAGAAAGAGTAGAATTAAACTCACTGCCTTTATTTTTCTTAAAATACTTCAAAAGCACACTAGTAGTGTATGTATGAGCCATATTCCTTCTCTGGTTTGAAAAGAAAAAAAGAAAGTGCATCTCATTTGGGAATGTGGCATCCTATGACATTGCTGCAGCTAGTGGAATCTATAAAGAGATCTTTGAAAATGGTTGGCATCTTTGTTCAGCCAGGAAGAACCATGCAAATAAGCTAGCCTAGTATGCTCAGAATCATGTTGCCAAAGATGGATACTCTGTTTTCTGACAAAGAAATTGAATTTTTTTGGTTAGGAGCAATGTAGTTGATTTCTGTGTATATTACAATCATTATTCAATAGGTACCTTTATTTAAAAAAAAATAAAAATAATAATAATAATACAAAAAAGTACATTAAATTATCTGTGAACACACACATAAAATCTCTTCATGGTGATAGTGTACATATATTTTGAATTGTTTAAGTTAGTGACATACATCACACTTCTGTCTGTTGGTGTGCGTTTTAAAAAGCTGCTAGTCCAACTCTTTTGTTGTGCAGCTTTCAAGAGAAAGAAAAAAACCTGTCCAGTAGTCACATTTATAATTTTTGGTCCACTTTCAGATAGAAAATCTGAACCATGTAAATAACAATTCAAAAACAGTGCCGTTGTTTCGTTTGGTACACTAGTGTGACAATCATCTAAGTAAACTGTGTACCTAGTAATTTTGATCTGACAAGCAACAAAGTCTTTTTATTATGGTTTCATAAGGCTGAAGATATTCTCCAGAAACGTCATTGCACAGTTAAAATTAAAAACATAAAATAAAATACATACATGTATATAATAATAAAATTATTATTAATCCATAAATATGCCAGTAAGTGTTAATAGCAATACCCATTACAATGATACTCCCAAGGTTTGAAAACCATTTTTCTTGCTTTGTTATTGTTTACTGAGGTAGGACAAACAGTATGTTAAGAGTAAAATATGCCATATGTTTCTTCTTCATATGGTGTCCATCAATCTCCCAGTCAACAGTAGAATAAACAAAGAAGTTTGATGATAGCTCTGGCCGTGTGTTTCTTATGGACTTGAAAGAATTTGTAAGTTTAAAGTCAAGTGTATCAAAATGGTAGAAAGAAAATTAATGCCGTCAAACTGCACTGACGCAGGTCTCTGTCATGAAAGTCGTTCTAATGCCATCTCAACCACAGTATATACCTGAGCGGGAACAGTCCAAGCCGCCTTAGCGGGAAAAAAGTGAAACTTTAGCAGCATCTGATCATAATATGTAGGCCCAACGTTCTCTTTGTAGTGTGAGATTTTGAGCCACTGTCTTCATTCTAGAAACACAAGGTAAACATAATGTGGTTAGAATTAAATTAGGCAAATACAGAATAATATTATTATGATACTGAGAAAGATAAATAGAGAAAAAATTATTGAAAACTGACTGAATTATTGAAATCGACAGATTTATAGCCCTATAAACAAACCATTTTAAACTCTTGCTGTTGTAGGGGTTCTTTTTTATTGATTGCAGAAAAACTAAAGAAAAGGATGCAGTTTTTGTTCTTACAGGGATACCATGTAAATATAGTTTCAGAATTGGAAAGCCAGGGATAAATTTTAAATCATCATCTTCCCAAGCTGAATATAACACAGCATTGGTGCATTATATAGAGGTTAATATAGTTTTGCCATTATATTGTAATCCCCTTAAATAAATTCACATATTATCTAGCAAATTTCAGTATTATTTCACATATGCTTTATTCCTAATATTCAAAACAAAGACTTAACAGCAGATCTCTAACAAACTGTGCAGCTGATGCTTTTTGAAAATGTTAACTTATCTATGATCTTGGAGGTAACTTATATGATGAACCAGTCAAATAAAATTTGCACTTATCCAGTAATCTGTTTTGTGAGGGCACAGCAAGAGCTTCTGTTTAGTACTTGAAAGTTAGTTTTATGCATGGAATGGAAGAATAGAACTGCCACAGAAGCAGTCCGATACCTTCCACACATATAAGAAGCTATTAGTGGTAATGGGGAGAATGTGAGCATACAATTCATTTGATTTCAGAAAGTTTGTGTATATTTTGAACCAGGCCTTACAACTGTCCTGATTTCAACAGGACATTCCTAAATTTTTGGTCCTTTCCCACCGTCTTGGCTTAGTTCCCTTTTGGGGACACCAAAGAAATGTCCCCAACAGGCATAGCATGAGTGCATCAATGGATGTTCAGGGTAATGTAGCACTGAGCTCCCTGCATGGTCTACCCTCAGTTGCCAGCATGCCTGATTGGGAACTCTACGGATGGACCCCTTTCTTGGTGAGGCTGAAACTTTTGGTGGAGCCAGTGACACAAATTGCATCAATGGTCTACTTTCTTTTTATCCCTCCCACCAAGCTAGGAGGTATTTTTCAATGATCGGATGGCCTTACAGCTGCCGCAATATGTGAAAATCTCTGCAGGTATATTTAGGTTGATATTGGTGATAGGAAACTCCTTGCAGCATAGTCTTTGCAAGGATCATGGGATGCTATTGTGCATAAAGTCTATGTAAATATCAGTGACTATTAATTTGAATTAACACTAATAACAGCATGGTCATAAATAGAATACTACAACCAATTACCAGTTTTAAGTATAAATTGCGTTATTCTCTGGGCATAAAATCCCTTTAACAGCCTTGAGAATATAGCTTGAAACATATATTTTAGCCTATAATAACCAGATATTACTTTGCCACCAACACACAAAGCCGCACCTAAAACAAAGTCCTATCATGACTCATCTATTTCAATGAATAGGCCAGATAGATTCCCTTCTAAGTAATAGAAAAAGATTACAGAAACTCATCCATCTTTGTTTAGTAAAATGTTGGCAACAAAGCTATTCTGTATTGCACAGAACAGCTGCTGATAGCAACCTATATAACTTCTGTGGTTTCCATTATGTTTATGTATATATGTATTCTTATTCAATAAGACAAGGAGGGAAATCTCAGCTGTGTGAGAAACAGAACGAAAAAAGAAACATGTTTATAAAAAATAAAAGTTAAACATAAAATTAAACAAAACAAAAAAAAATCCAATACCCTTTGCAGTTCATAGTTATCAAAAATAACAAAAATCAAACATCTTACGGTATCTAAAGAAACCGTAGCAATGCTATTAAGGAGAAATCTGCCTAATATTTCCATAGCAGCTGCCAGATGAAAATGGCCAGATATGTTATACTCCTCTTGTGTAAAAACGCAAGTCTCGTAATCTTCAGTTGGTAATTAGCACTGTACTACATTTCTTCAAGGGCTCTGCGACGTCAGAGAAGTCTGCATATCATGCTGGTCTATTTACAGCAAGAAGGTTAGGGTGACAGGTTTCCAGCTTATGCTAAAAAGCTATGCTGATCCGGTTAGGGCACAATTCCAAGGCTTTGTTTGTTTACAATGATGGAGGAACAAGGCAAGTCTGCAAAAACAGAACAGCATCCCAAAACCTCATCAAAATGCAATATTGTGCAAAAACATGACTGAGGAATAATAAGGTCCCCCTCAAACAATTATTTTCTACCAAAAATTAGCATTTGTTTCTACAATGCAATACATATATAACATAATAATCACAAAAATGCTCTAGAAACTCTTTCTATTTTGCATTTGCTAACACTTTTCACTTGTTATAGCTTCAGAAAACAGTAATCATACTTTCTTTGATTATTAAATGCTCACAGGTCAGTTTCGACAAATGTCAGCAAGTAATATATGCCTTCTTATAAATTCTGTGGAAAAATGTATATTGTTACATAGTATATAACTCTTTGTGCATGTAAATACACTAGTAAAATAATAACGCTAGTGATATTCCTTTATCAGTTCATGAATGTAGTTACATTTCAGCTGCTATTGTACTTGAGCTCAAAACCAAAAAATACACTATATTCCAGCGCATTGGCCAATCAATCAATTTTAATTTTTATTTGTAATTTGACCCAATTAAAGAGGACATGAGAACATCAACATAATAATTAGAACATTGCTGCAACAATTAAACCAATTAGGAAGAAGGAAAGTATAGTTTAAAGGGACACTATAAGCACCCAGACCAGTCCAGCTCATTGTCCCCTTAACTCTGCAATTCTAGTTATTGCAGTTATTGATAAACTGGAATAATTACCTTGCAGGATTAACTCCATCTCTAGTGGCTGTCTATCAGACATCCACTAGAAGCCCCTCCGAGTGATTAGATGACTTTTGGTCGCCTGGCATTGGACAGCCTCATGCTCTGCATAAAGGACATCAAGCGTCATCTAAAACCCCATAGCAAAGCATTGAGCAATGCTTTCCTTTGGGGTAGTCCTAATGCGAGCACAGCACTCGCCGCACGTGCGCGTTAGGTCCCCCCCATAGACTGACATCAGTAAAAGAAGAGAGGAAGGCAAAATCTGACCCAGCGCCACGGGACATTGGCACTGGAATCATGTAAGTTATAGAAGGGTTTTAATCATTTCAGCGCCACATGCGGGGGGTTGTTATTCACTATAGTGCTAGGAAAACAACTTTGTTTTGAAGCAGTGAAAGATCTTCATTTTGCATCAGCTGAAGTTTCTTCACAAGTTCAAGAAAGAACTCTTAAAAAAAATAATAATAATAATAAAAAAAAAAAATAACTCCTATAAGTGCAGATTCCAGGAATTCTACAAAATTATGCTGCCAAAACAGGGTGCAACACATTCGAGCCACCTCCAGCAATGCCAACCTTAATTGGTATTAGCAGAGACTTACATGCACATGTTTAGGAACTGTCAAAAGTACTCGAGGTTTATGCACATCAAACAGAGGAGTTGGTTGATTACTGAGAAAGGGGAAACTAAATACCATGCTATATATACAATGCATAGTCCAACAAAGCAGCATAGTGAGAAAACCAAGAGCATTTATGGGCCAACAGTCTCTGACATAAAAGAGTAGAATTTTTTTTAAATGCTGAAGTTCTGTTTTTATTGCACAAACATATTTGTCCTGTATGATTATGGTAATTAGAATTAGTATAACACACTGAAGAGGTAAGTACTTTATGGGCCTTATGGGTATGTGTCTTCTGGCAAATGAAAAGGTTAAGGTATTGTGAATTGCCACCATCTACCTTCTGCATCCCTGTATTCCATCTGTCACACAAGACAAGAAGGGAAATGACTTCTTCCTGTTTAAATTCTTTACATGCAAGAACTGGAATGGATATTTACTGTAGGAGTTTACTGTCCCACGGTTGTCTGTTTATTTTACACATATTGTGACATTTAAGTCAACATGATATGAAATTTGACATCATTAATACAGCTAATGACGTGGTCATGAAAGATTTAGCAATGCTCATTTGAGCACTCTGGACTTTTCTATGTGTACACAGGGAGATTCCCTCAAACAAAGACAAGCAAATGTTATTCTGCATACGCAAGTAGAATAACGGACAGAGACTGTAGCATAATGCAAACATGCATTTAATCTGCCCTTTTAAACATCCTCCCATTAAATAAAGTAAAAGAGTGTTAAAGACCAGTGTCCAACAATGAAATTTTACAAGCTTAAACCAAGTGACTAAAGGTGCTCAGTGAAAAGTTACAGCTCCACTCTTGAAACAAAGCTGAATTTCAGGAATCACTGCTCATGCGCATAGGGTTACCAAAATCAGTTTACACAAGTGGAATCGGGGAAAGTGGTTAAAGGGTTATTAGGGTGTTAGGAATACAGCTTTGATAAATTACATTTTGAAATGAATGCCAGTGTTCAATGGTAACACAGATATCCTAACTATAACCCTATTGCCAAGTCTCAATCAAATTCAAATTTAAAGAATCACCAGGCTATGGTCTTCTCCCTCTTACTTTCACAATGTTGTAGTTATCTATCATCTATGGATTATATGATTACCAAGGCACTATCTCCAAGCTTCTATTGATGATATCCTTTTTTTCATCACATACCAGCTGGGACCTTCTGTTAATTTCACTTGAACAATGTCTCCGACTGGCTAAGAGTTTATTTTTTTATTTTTTTTGGTATGTATGTATAAAGCATATTGTACTATATCATATTGATGTTACATAATTATTGTATATGTCTACAACCTCACAATCATAACATTACTCACGTCTGCTGTTTTCTAATTAATAAAAAAAAAAAAAGAATATTACAGGAAAAAAAAAATTAAACAAATTGCACTTTTATGGCCGCTTTCTTATGCTTTGAATGTAAATATTTTCAGACTGACGCTCCCTCTTCCTGATTGGTTGACCATTTAAGCTTATAACTTTTAAAGATCTCTTTGATACCACTTAACTGCCACAAAGCAGAAATTCCTTGACAAAACTAGTCTTGAATTATGTTCAGTTTATTTAAACAATTCAAGACAACTAAAGTTTCTTCCTCGGGACATATAGAAAATGTTGTGTAACTGGTACAGAAAAAACAGAAAACACTGGAAAGGTTACGAAGTTCTCCAAATATACACTAGTGGGTTGGTTGGTAAAACTACAATTAAAAAATTATCTAAAAACTGCTGCAAAATTATTGTATTGTATACAAAGCCACAGACTGGTTTTATGCCCTTTCAAGAATTTTATTGGTTTTGTGGGTAGATCCATATTGAAATGTTATTAACAGTGATATTTCTATATTATTATATACACACACTAGACTACTCTAGTGTCTTTACATTATGTTTTTTATTTATTTAATTGTTTAATTTTTACATTTCTTCCCATTTAACATATCAAACTACTCTAGAGTCGATCAGATCTTTAAACTTTACCAGTAAACAACATTATCCAGTGTTCCTGTTTGTTTGCTTCAGGTGCAAATTGAACAGATGAGAAGTGTAAACGGAAGCTTTTCATTTACACAAGTAACAGGTGCTGAATGGATACGGAAGATACCCTACAGTAACCTTCAAAGTACACACCTCAATCCAGAATGAGCCATTCTACTGCGGACACCAATTACAGCCTCTCTGCGAAAACGAGACCATATCAAACAGCCAATCTGCAAACAGATACATAGGAAGCCCAAGCAAAAGCAATCAATTAATTTGGTCATAATTACCTTTACTGACACTATATAGTCTATCTTACCTTTGTGTTATTTTATATTCACCTTCTTGTAACCACATGCATCCTCTTTAGCTACAATGTAGAGTGGAGAACTTTTTTTCTTATAAGCGATAGACTGTGTACTAGCAGTGGTATTAAAGGGAACTCCGTGCCTATTTTTTAAAATACGATTACAGCAAAATCACTATATTCTGTCAGAGATACAAGATGACTATATGTGAAATCAACATTTTACGCATGATTTTGGGTGTTTTCTGTGTTACACGCATGGCTGCTTGTTTGAATTATATTTAGATGCCATTATATGATTTCCTGTTAAAGGTTTTCAGAGCTTAATTACACTTTATGCTTCAACGCAATGTTTCCTTATGTGAGGGGTGAGCATGTCATATCCTTGCATGAAGGTAACACGGCATGAAAAGCAAACTGCTTCATAAAATATATCGTCAATGTTGGCATTCCTGCCTTACATCAATGTGATAGTGGCATTGACTATTGATAAAAAGAAGGAAGTAACAGGTGACATATAACCGGCTTACAAAGGAGATTTGTTTACATATGTCCCGTGAGTGGCAATAAACTTTCCCTGTTGATACTGGTATCAGCCAGTTTGGCATTACACTAAAGCCACCATCTCTGACCCTTTCCATTAAAACAAGCTGCTCAACAATGTCTAATCCTATGCGTCATGTAATCCTTCTTAATACAGTGCAAACTCTGGGTGATCTTTGGGCAGGGTTTTCTTTTAATATAGCAAGGACATCTTGGCTTATATCAAGGAACTCAAAGTTCTATCAACGGACTAGTAAGATTCCAAAATTATAACTGGGCCTCTATCACATATGCGGTCGACTTGTGCTTATAAAACTGAAAGACAAAGCAATTATAGCAGACATTAAGCACATTATAATGAACAGCACCAAACAATAACGGTGGTTGATATTGGTTATATGGTTGCACAAGAGCATAATAGCCACACAGACAATTAGGAGCCTTCATCAGATATTTTCCCCATTGCAGAGCAGGATTAATAATTACCTTACAGTTTCACATCTACCTAGGCACAGAACTATAAATTTGTTTGGCCCCATTCACCATCTCTAGTTGAAGAATGAAGAGTACGTTCCAAACCAGCAACCTGCTTAGGGCTCTGTGTGATCTTAATCCTTCTTTGCTTTATTGTCCTCAAGAAGTGAAACACTGGGCTGGAAATGAGGGATTGCAGGTCACTGGACCCAAAATAGGCAGTTTATCAGAGAGTGGTAGACATTCTCGGGAGACTTAGGGATTATGGCTGATGTAGTGCCCACAGGCAAAGATAATTTTGTTCTCTGAAGAGTTAAACTACATTCTCTCCTTTAACAAGATCATTTGTATCACGTGCCACATACATAGGAAAGCAAATACCCTAAAAGGGACTCTGTACCTGATGCTCTGCTACTTAGATTTATACAGCTTTTGCTAAAATAGTTTGACCTGGTTCATTTAAATAAAATGGTTTTCCAGGCAAATGGCTTCAGCAAGTCATCTCCATGATTACTTGAAAAACAATACCTAAAGGCACCAGTCAACAACAAAATGTTCTTAAATGTAGAAGTCAGAAACTAAATATTAGAGAGCTGAACAGGTTTTTCCAGAATACAAACTATTTTAGAACAAAAGGATTGTTATAGTTCTTTTCTTTTCTTTTTCTTTTAACGTGCTAGAGGTGATCAACACTTTCTCATGAAACAGATTACTCAACTCCCTAGCACTCAGAGGGTTAAGTCCTTTGAACCCGTTTAACAAGATCACACATTCCAGCCTGCAAGTCACTACTACAGATCTCCTTGAACTGCAATTTAGCAAGAGTAAAAAAAAAATAACAACCTAGTACAATAAACCCATGTCTATTGCATATTCCTGTTTAATTAACTGCTTGATTAGGACTATAGCACACAACACGAAAATGAAGAAATGAACTTAACACACAATGGGCAAACATTTATAATCAACAAATAAATCCTCAAAATGCATTCACTGTGGAAGCTAGAAAAAATATATATTTTTTTTGTTTTTAAATGTGAGATATTTTTCTTTCAATGGTTAGGTAACCGTCAAATGAATGCCAACAACTCAGATCTCTAAACTCAGGCAAAGCACCTATGAATCAAGTTTTTTCCCCCAAAATTTGATCTTGCTTGCATTCTCTTAAACTTGCTTGTGGTCTCATAAAAAAAATAATAATAATAATAAAAAAAAAATGGCCTTCCCCCATTGAAGGAGAAATCTTTGCTCCTATTTTGTATTGTAACTGTGAGGCAGATGGCATGCAATCATTAGCCTATTGTAAACAGCAGCGCTGGGGTAGATTATTAGTGTGTCTTGCTTGTCATGGCAGGTGCAGGGCCTTGAGGCTCCCATCTGCCAAGAAAGGAAGTGCTCTCTTGGAAGATAGGGAAAGGGGTTTACCAACAAAATGTAAACAACAGCAACCCGTCTCTTTTTATTCACAAGAACTATCAGGATCCACACAATATCCAAAGAGACAACTACCTTAATAGGAGAGATTGTGGGTAATGGACAGTCAGTTTATCAATTATGTTTGATTACAGCAAAGGCTATTAACACTCTGGCAAAAGCCCCACCTCCCCCCTTTGTTTTTTGTTTTTTTTGTGTGTTTTTTTTACAATTTTGGCCTTTGTGTCATGGGTCAAGGACAAACTGCAAGCTACTGTTCCTTTAGAAAAATCAAGAACAAAAATGGATATTGTAATGAAATACAAAATATAAAACAAGATTCGAAAATGTTTCGTTTTATCTGAACATGGTGAGAGCTCTGTAGCAAACATCTTTGTTTTCAAGACACAGCATTGTCAAAAGAAGGTAGACACATTTGCAAGACAGTGTGATTATTAAATTATTAGCACACAAAGAAAAATGCCACATACTGTGTAGTTCATTGTTGCCTGCCATGTTAATATATTATATTACACGTCTGAGTCACTGTTCTCGTTTACACACATGGAATAGAGAAGGAAGGATGCAAACAAAAACAAGCTTTACAGTCGTTTTTTCTTAAATATATAGACCAAATATAAAGCAGAGATGGATATGAGAAACTACGCTTCTAGACGCTGAACTTAGGGAACTCGTATTAGCCGTGTTTGTTATAAACATTCTTTTCGTATAGAACAAAGGTATACAAAGCAAAATGCCAAAGGCCTTCAATAAACATTACTCTGATAATTTATATCTTTGCAGCCATCACTAACCTGACAATTCTTGCACAATGATAACATGCATGTGGTTTTAGAGAAATGTAAATTACTGCTTATTCAATTCTCTAAGCCTGGGTTTTGCGGTGTCACAAAAATATAAAACACGTAGCAGTTTTACTGTTCGTGTTTTGTTTTCCCAATGAAACGCTACACGACTTACCTTCAGTTCCTTGACCACGCTACTTTTCCTACTTTATGTAAAGGGGTTACCAACCCCATGTCTAGGGACCAATGTCGGTTTGTGTTTGGAAGGAATGGAGGGGTCAATAGTTTTTTTCTTCCCTATTGGCTGGGAGCCAGGGTTTTGTTTTTTTTGAGCAGACAATGGGGCGCTATAAGCGGCAGTCAGTGAGGTAAATCTCACAGACCGCCATAAATACACTATAAATTTAACGTTTATGCAGTTTCCCTCTCTCCCACACTTATATAAATTTTATTACATTTTTATTTGGAATCTTGATTTGCCTGTCTAAATAAATGGTAGGGGAGGTTAAAAATAGTATATGGTGTTATATGGGCTATTAAAAGGCCACAATGTGGTGTTTTCCTCTGGGTGTTAAATGTGATATGATTAGTTATACAATTGTGTTGTAAGCAACATATTTGAAGTTAAAGAGGTTTTTAAATTCCTTTCAGTAAAAGCCACAGCCTTCCACTGTGTGTTGTGTTCCTGTGTGTTTATTTTATTAGTAATGTTTTACGTTTCCTTTACATAACATATAAACCCCACTAAACACTCTCACTCTGGTCCTTCCATCTGCTCATACATAATATGTGCTTTGCAAGGCAGTACCTTTGGTCTCCCAATAAAACAGATTATTAGCTCACTTCATTCAGACTTCCCCTGACCTTGAATACAATTTTGGCAATGTGCACATGCTGAGCGTCAACACCCACTCTAATCCTGAACTCACAGGCAAAGCCTGGGGTCTTTTAAGGGCAGCCGCTGCCTTCATCTTTGTTAGAGCTATTTATAATCACCAACAACGGTTACATTATACAGTGGTTTTAGTTAATGTTGATGGATCTGGGTACTAAATCACTATTTTACTCCATGTGACAAAGTGAGAAAAATCTGATAAAATGTAGCTTTATTTTTCTTTGCCATCACTGAGACAACAAAGAGTTAATGGGTACAATCAGAACCTGTATGGAAGTTTTCCCCTTCAGCTGGCTATTTACCATATGGTTGTATTATGTGCAGTGACCTCTTGGCTGCCCTTTGAAGCCTATACTTGCTATAGTTTATGTGCCGTCTCTCTCTTTGAAATGCTGTTCATGTCAGGACCAGCCCACATTCCTTCCAAGTCAGTTAGGAGAATCAGCTTGTCATATTCTAAAGGAAAGTTATGAATCATTCAATCTACAATGCTGCCCTGCTTCAACATTCTCACGTTTAAGGAACTTCACGAGAGCAGCAGCAAATTCTCAATGAATTTTTAACACAAAGAAAAAAAAAAAAGGGATTGTTTTCCTCCATCAGAAACAGTTCATTATTTTACATTGTTCTCTGTATGACAACAAGGAGCTAGTTGAATCATAACTCATAAGGAGCATATGCTGTATCAGTGTTTGGAGTCTCCATTAAACAGTCACAAAACACTAGAGCATTATTCTTCATGCAAAAAGTACCTTGGATTTTTTTTTTATTATTTATATTCTTTAAGCGGTTTACACACACTGAAGAAGGGAATGTGAGCTGGCCTTGCTATCTTGGAAGTAATCAGAGGTAAATCATCAAACTAAGCACTTCCTCAGCCCTAAGCAACAACTGTTCCTGGTTCACTTGTGAACAAAACATTCCATTCAGCATAATCAAAAACGATTTCTGTTAAACTAGTCTATGTCGCTATAGGAACAGCATGAATATCAGAGTCAAAACAACATTTCTATTATATTTATATATACACATAATACACACACACACACACGTCTGACACTTAAGCTATATTAGTTACGAGTCCTATATTTGCGATGTGACAATGAACATTTTGTAAGCTGCCATTATTATTATTTTATTTTTTATAAAGCGCCAGTAAATTCCGTAACGCTGCTGCAATGACCAGGAGCAAAGTTATGACTGGAATCAAAAGTTTCATTTTTAATGAAAAAGGGAATTCCCTTGTGATTCAGGACTTTCGATACTACAAACTGTTCAAAAAGTAGAATAATATTTTTTTTCCTTGAAACTAATTGCAAAGCAGATTTCAGTATGAGAACTACTGCAGAGGGCCACCTTCTGCTTGAGGAGGTATGCAGCCCATGGGTGGAGTGTGTTAAAGGTAAACGCAGTCTCTTTGCGTCTTAATATGCATATTTGAAAGTGTGCTTTTTCTTGATCTGTCATAGAGGAAAGAAAAAAAGAAAAAAATAAGAGATAGGTAAAGAGGCAGACACACAGATAATGGTGGTGAAAATTGCCCTTTGAGATTGTTAGCATGCAAAGGATAATAAAAGATGCAGATACATTTTCCTATGGACTGATAGAATGCGCGTGCTGCTCTTGCTGTACACGCGCATTCTGCTCCACTCAGGAGCTGACATCGGCGGGGGAGAAGAGGTCACCAGCACCGAGGGAACCTGGCGCTGGAATAAGGTAAGCTGCTGAAGGGGTTTTAACCCCTTCAGCACCACTGGAGGGGGTCTCTGAGGATGGGGGCACCCTCAGGTCACTATACTGTCAGGAAAACCGCTGACACTATAGTGATCCTTTAAGTCTGATAAATGCTAGAGTAAAGATACACCAGAAACTTCCTGCCATAACAAGAGTGTACAAGCTAAACCAGAATGGTTAAGTTACTAGTACTGCTAAATTACTGATGCACTTAACTTGTGCAAGAATGAAAATAAAGTCACATGTTTTCCTGCAAGGCAGATTAACATGTATACCAAACCTTCCTGGCTGACTGAACTCACTGACAGGCTCAGCGGGCAATTCCTTGTGCACAGATTTAACCATCAGATAGGAAGGTTTGTGTGTGACTCCGTTAAAAATAGCATTTAACCATATTTATATAACTGCAAGGCTAGATGAATCACAAATGCAATAAAATCAATCATAAGTAAGGGTAGCACATTGGGGTGTGAGCATTTTTACAATAAAAAGTCCATCTGTTTTTACATCTAGAATTACTCTGGAATGATCATGAAAGAAATTAAATAAATCTTAAACTAATTTTCATACTCAATATAGAGCAAGTAATATGATGGAAAAGTTCAGGAAGGCATCTTAAAGGTTATCAGTGTGGAAAGAATCATAATTGCATTAGGGAGTGCCTGGGCACACCTATCAAATCAAAAAAAAAAAAATGGTTCACGAGACCCTTTATTGAGCTCTGCAATCTTAATCTTTTTGTGGACAGAGGATTATATAAAACATAACTAACAATAATTGGAGCATTATATGAGCCACTGTCAATAAAATGTGACACCCTACACAATGCATGCCTTTAGATTATAGCTTCTTTAGAAAGAAAATGGCAATCTTAATCAAATAGGTAGATTCTATGATCTGCCATCTTCTAACAAATGGCCCATTGATAATACACACCTCTTGTGTCAAGGTTTGCTTTGAACATTCCTTACTGAATTATAGATTCGGTGGAGCAACTTTATCATGGGGGTGACAAGTTTGAAAACTCAGATGACAACTCTTTACACTCAATAAATCTTCCACAGGTTACATTTGTTGGTTGTGGGTTGTATATTGAATAACAATACAGTTATGATGCTACACTAGCATTATGCAATGTTGGTGCTCAACTTTCACACGATTGTAGACCTACACACGGATTTCTAAACTAGTTCTAATCAGAGTGCACTGCATACAACGCTACGATATATAAATATCAACTTGCACGTGAAGGTAATTTTCTTCTACATCCAACATTGTGAATACAATCAACAGTTTTTACTATGAGATAAAAATCAGAGCCGTGTCATAACGCACCATGAAAAGGATGTGTCCATGTCTTAAGAATGCATTGCCTGAGTTTGAGTAGAAAGGTGCTATATAAGGGCATGTTGTTGTTATCATTTTAAGATACCAAATCGTATTCCAAATGCCTGGAGAGGAAAGGAATATGGGATTACGCTGCCCAGTACAAAATGTTACGGAGCAAGATCGCAACACAATCTTATAACAATCTGTAGCAAGCTGCAGAGATTAGAGTCAGTTAATTTGACATTTCTTGCCAAAGTTTTAATGCGGTCCACGTACGTTTAACTGCCGTGTGTCATTATAGCTCATGAAAAGCTCTGCTATGTTTTCCCAAGAGAAAATACTAAGGAACAACATCTAATCTATATTATGCAGGGTTTGTGTAGTTAGCAGACAAACTGAGTACAAGATTTTGTATTTTCCCCTGTTTTAGTTTCATTGCATTCTCACATTATTCTGTACATTCCTGTTATAGAGGCAAGCAGTTGATGAACTGTTTTCTTCTCATGTCATGTGAAAGAGAGAGTGCTTTCACACTCATGTTTTCATTCAGTGTCATTCTTTAGAATCATTTGAATACGGTCATAGAGTGTTATGATTTATATGCAGCAGTGTTGTCTCTTGAACTGCTTTCCTGAAGGGCCATAGAGCCATACTGACCCATGCTTAGATTTGGTTTTCCTCATTGCCTGCATATTTACAATGTCCTTGGTATCTGGACTGTAGCAAGCAATAACTACCGGTAACTAAAATAGGCAAAACTGCTGATTTGTAAAATCAATCAACAAATTTCCCACTCAGTTATAGTCACTGATTAGGAAGTTATTTTAGTAAAAATTTTGCGATTTTTTTTTACATTTATTAAAATGTGGTGTTTAGTGAACAAGCCCATCTGTGTACTGGCTATCTTTGGTAGTTATTACGAGTGCCAATGTTACATGACAGCACATTGAAAGCAATGTCCAGTTAGTACACTGATTAAGCTTACTTTATCTGTCTTTTTTTTTTACGTTGGGTGCCTTTGAAGTCTGTACCTACAGGCACCTGGTATGTAAATCCATCCTGCCTATATCTGGCCTTGTTTAGCTTGTTTTAGCATTTATTCCAAATATATCTACAAAGCTTAAAGGACCACTATAGTGCCAGGAAAACATACTCGTTTTCCTGGCACAAGAGTGCCCTGAGGGTGCCCCCACCCTCAGGGTCCCCCTCCCGCCCGGCTCTGGGGAGAGTAAAGGGTTAAAACTTACCTTTTTTCCAGCGCCGGGCAGGGAGCTCTCCTCCTCCTCTCCGCCTCCAATCCTCCCTTTCGGCTGAATGCGCACGCGCGGCAAGAGCTGCGCACGCGCGGCAAGAGCTGCGCGCGCATTGAGCTGGTCTCATAGGAAAGCATTCATAATGCTTTCCTATGGACGCTTGCGTGTTCTCACTGTGATTTTCCCAGTGAGAATCACGCATGCGCATCTAGCGGCTGTCAATGAGACAGCCACTAGAGGATTTGGAGGCTGGATTAACCCTAACATAAACATAGCAGTTTCTCTGAAACTGCTATGTTTATTAAAAAAAGGGTTAACCCTAGCTGGACCTGGCACCCAGACCACTTCATTAAGCTGAAGTGGTCTGGGTGCCTAGAGTGGTCCTTTAAACAATGTCTGCATTTGCATGCATATGTACAGTAAGCAGCCACATAGTGTCAAATGTGTTGGAAGCCTTGTTGGAGTAAGAATGCAAACACAGACATGAAGGATACATCTCAGTGAGTTGGTGAATTAATGAAATGCCAAACTCTGTACGGACCAAATTCTCCACACCAATCTTTGAAGCTTCAGAGAGCTTGGTTAACACAAGGAATAGTTTCAATGGATTTCTGTTATCACAGACAAACATACAGCAGCTCAATCTCTTCAGAAGATCAGAGGATTTTCTACCTAGTCTCTGAGGTTATTTGAGGCCTGCCATTAGCTGGATTACACTAGCTCACATATTTTGCAATACACATTATAGTTATCCAGTTTGATCACCAATTGTCACACTGTGTGCTGACTTTAACTCTTCAGCTGTTGGTCTATATCATATAATCCCCATGAAGTCAATGTACGTGATGGACATTTTTATTTTTAAAAACATAGGGGTGCTAATGTTCAGTCTTAAAAAGTTCTGAATTATAGAACAAGCATAATAATATGTTTAGTGTCACCATTTTAGAGTTGTTCATTTAGAACTTGGGTAAATGAAGTTCACAGATTTGATAACTGAAAATTTAAAGTGAATTTCAAATTTAAGGCCATAGCAGCCAAACTGAAGGAGCATTTTTTCTAGTTTGGCTACTTTAACCTTAACTTTAAAATTCACTTTGAATTCTCAATTTAGATCGCTAACTAGACATATGGTGCATGAATGCTTGTCTAGAAGAAGTATTGACTCCAATGCTTCTCTTTGTGCATTAACGGTGTTCAGCATTATTCTAAGTAGTCCTTAGAAAATTGAAGGATCTAAAATTGGAACCAGCTGTATTGGTGGTCTGCAGGATGGCCACCAGAGAGGCATGTTTTGGGCCAAAAGCAAATATTGTCGTTTCTTCTATACAAGGTGTAAACTTATGCAAGTCGCATCACCATGATGCCCAAGGCCCAGCCAATTCTATGCACTGTACATATCCAATATACTTTATCACACCAGCTGTTAAAATTTTTTATTTTAGATAGGTTTGAGATTGATTCAAATATTAACGCAAATGTATGTGCATATCTGTACTTTATATAGTTAGGTTTCTACATGTGAGTATGAACACATGTTGAGATATAATTGCAATTCCTTTGGAGAGATTGATACTGGTGTGGACAAACGTGGAATGCTATGCCATTGGTGAAGGTTACAATTGATTACTGCATAATCCTTTAGGACAGACAGTCCTAACTACTAGTCCAGACTACTGAATGCCTAGGGGACAACTAAACACCATAGGATGGGAGTAAACACTGAAGCACGGGAATAGTTAACATCTAGTGATGCTGCTTTTCAATGAAACATCTGCTTTCCCAGCCCAGAGCCTAAAATAGAGGAAAATATAGAGACCAGGCCTAGTCATGTCCCTATGAAAAGACTTCTGCCCTCATTTAACTCATTAAAGTTCTAAAGTATGTGTGTGTGGTTTTATTAAAGTATTTTTATAAATGTATATTATTTAATAACTGGCAAAGAAAACTGCTAGTATAATAGAAAATGTAATAAAACCAAAAGGTTGTAAAACAGAAAAAGATCCCTTTAGACATGGTGGAAATAAAATCGTATACAAAACATTTAAGGAAAAAAAAACAAACAAACAAAAATATATAACAATGATGATCTCTCCATTCTTGGCTAATCCTTAATAGACTGTTAGCTGATCTCCTGAATGGTAGACGCATTGCTGGCCCAAGTATCTCAAAACACCCACTTCCTTTCTACAGAAAGAAAGCTTTCATAAACCTCCTTAAAACGTGGTAACAATTAACAGTGTCATAATGAGATTGAAACTGGATGATTGGGCTAACTGGTTACCCACGCTTTCACCTCAATGTGTGTAATCATAGGTTGTTTATTTAACCTTTTTCAACACAAAAGGGGATTATGACGTTTCCGAAGTTTATGTGTACGCTTTATGTAACCTACTCCAAACATGTTACACCGCTTTATAAAACGTCCTGAACATGATGTATGTTCCAAGTGACTTACGGGAACTGAACAGGGTATACGCACATTATTTACACTGGATCTTATACAATGGAGACTTTATTTAACATGTTGCCTCTGGTTACAACTGCACAAGCTTTCCCAATCAGCTGTGATTACGCAGTGATTACCAGTGTGAAGTCTTGGTATATAATGTACAGTCTGCTTCAAAAATTCGAATGCAGCTGGGAGTCCTGAGATAAAATGCCACATACGTAGTTTGTTCTTCGAAATCAAACTTGGGGGCCATTATACAAATAGCACATAAAATCTACCTTGTTTATTTGACAATAGTTATGATATAATTGAAATGCTCCAAGTATGGTGTAACAAGAAAGAAAAAAAAACGCCGCACCGCTCCACTCTCGCTCAAAAACAAAAGCCATGCAATATCATGCATTTCCACTTTAAAGGGAAAAAAGGTTATGGAAAATTAACATTATGCATTACATAAAAGTTAATACTGCCTTGTAAAATGCATTTTCCTCACTTGTCAGTTCATAACCTTTTCAAACAGAAATGACATATCAGGACTGTCATGTCAGAAGGTTTTTTTCTCCCTAACCTTGGGATTGGCTAAAGGGGAATATATATATACACACACACACACACACAATTTAGAAATATATACATTAAATCTATACACACCCCTGACCTCTGTCTATTTGAGAAAGGGTGGAATGTTCTATGCTCCCTTTCTGGTTCTTAGCTAAAACTATGTGTAGCTCTGTTACTGTCACAAAGAGTGAATTGCTTCTTTCTTGAATTTGGAGTTTGAGTGGTCTGAATTTTCTCGATGCTCCACCTCCTCTGATGGGGTGGGGGCTAATGTGCATGCGCGTCAAGCATATTAGGCCCCTTCCCATAGGAAAGCATTGCTTCAATGCTTTTCTATGTCGATTTAACTGATGTTGGATGTCCAGAGTCAGTTAGGCGACCTAAATTCACCTAGAAAGCAGGAGGCTCCTCTAATGGCTGTCTGATAGACAGTCAATAGAGGCAGTCTTAGTCCTGCAAGGTAATTGTTGCAGATTCTCTAAAACTGCAATGGTTTACATTACAGGACTACGTGTGACAAGGTCACTGCACCTAGACCACTTCAATGTACTGAACCGGTCTGGGTGCCAGTAGTGTGCCTTTAACCCCTTAAGGACACATGACATGTGTGACATGTCATGATTCCCTTTTATTACAGAAGTTTGGTCCTTAAGGGGTTAAACACAAAGTAAAACACAACTAACTAGGGAAATGAGCAGGATCAGTGAAATTCAATTTTTAACATCAATGGAAAGTCTACAAATGCATTCAATTTATAATAAATTGATAACATAATATTTTTTTATTACACATGATTTAAAACACACAACATAAATTACGATATCTTGAAGAGTGATGTGAATGGTCTCACTTGCAAGTTTACAAAATCAAACTATCCAATATCAAAAAGCAGAGCATTTGTAATTTTATCTTTCTGTCCTTTTTATTCAAGAAAACCTTTTTTTTCAAAAATGTAAAAAAAAAAATTTTTTACAAAAGAAATATACACACACACACACACACACACACACACACACGACCTTGCATACAGGCTGATTAACTGGTTAGTAAATTCACACAGCCAGGGTTTAAACGCCAAATTGGAACATATTCAACTCTGAATGACTAAACAGGTCAAAACAGTTGACCTGAATAAAATTCTACACCTCCGCTAAATAGCAGCTTGACTTATTGCCTGCCTCGAATTTATTGCTTGATACGAATTTCAGTCAAGTCCGATTTGTAGTTTAGTGAATAATCCCCTTAATAAATTCGCTCCTACCACCTCCTCTGGAAAGCAGATCTATTTCCAACTGCAAGGATGGAACATGTAGCCCCACATCTGTCCTTGTCCTACAACTTCCTTTAGGCAGGCAAGGCATCATGGGAACAGCTGGGTGTTTACCTTTTGTCCACCTATATACTACAGTTATTATGACAGAAGAAAAAGAATGTGCTTGACGTGTCACTATTTCACAGCTGTTTTCTCATCAGTGCAGTTATTTGGAGCACAGGAAGATCATCAGTAGTTCAAGTTCCATAAATAAATCGTTGACATAAGAAGGCACTCATGTTTAGAATAATATGAAAATGATTTAACTAGAAAATACACATTAAGCTTACTTTAAGGCATGACTTTGGTTTTATGGAGTATTAAGCTGAGAGACTGAGATAAGCAAGCATGTTTGCAATATAAAAATATACATCGATAAACTTTATTGGGGGAAAAAAACAAAAGTTATACTATTACCTAGAATACACATGAAATTTGGCTAGGCAACTTAATGGACTCTGGTCTCCTTGTGTTTTTAAATACAATAGGTCTGCGTGTAATAACATAGGAGCTCTATGTTTGAATGAAACCCCTATCATTTACCATTTGACTGTTCTTAAGTTGAAAAGTCTACAAAGTTCTCATGATATATGCAGGTACAGATCACAAACTGAATGTTCTTGTGATAGAACATCAGGTTTCACTGTGTTCGTATTACCAACCACAGGAACCTGCAAAGCTATGCTGTCAACACAATTTAGTAAAAGAAATGTAATGGTTTCATTATTTTATTACACTCACCTCTTACAGTGGTGGCACCCTTCATTCTATGTCCAAGGAAATCAATGCTAGAGTAAGACCCAATGTCCAAACTGGCAAGGCCCAAGGCAGGCAAGTGTCCCCTGGATGAGGCTTGTGTTAGCAGTAGCAGGCTACGTTCTTCTGGTGACAGCTCAATGGCAATGTAGTTAAGTCCATTCTGGAACCCAGCTGAGGTCTCCCGGCACATAGGACTGCCACAATCAGCAACTTCAGAAGTCTCGCCAGGCCTCAGTGACACATTCTCCACTGATGCAGAGCTGGGCCTCTTTGGACTGTGTGCAAAGGAAGGTGATACAGGGGTCACTTGGGTGGTCGATGAAAAGGTTTCAGAACTGTGACGGCGACGGCCTCCTTGTGGGTCTGCCCGAATTAGTTTGGCACCCCGATTAGGATCTGGGGGTGGACTGTGCAAGCTAAACCCATCAGATATCTTGTCCATGAGCAAAGTGAGATGCTGTACACCAGAACTAGCATTTGCAATAGGCAATGGTGAAGCAGGTGGTGGAGATACATTAGAGGATGAATTTGAGGAGCTTTTCCTTGGGCTCATCTCTGTATAGTCTGAGTTAAGTTGCAATGAAGAACACACATTAGGCTTTGAGTCAGAAGGCCCAAAATCCAGGTTCATATAGTCAGATATTGGAGAGCTTTGAGGCCCAGAACTGGAAGAAGAAGAAGAAGTAGAAGCTGGGCTGCCATTAGTAGATAACTGGGCAGAGTCGGACCGAGTAGATGGGGTAGGCATTGGCAATGAATCTTGAGATCTTGTATCTCCAAAATAAATGTGAATGTATTCCCCACCAGGAGGGCTGGGGGGTTCTGGAGGGTGCTCACTCATGCTCGGTAGAATGCGCAATGCAAGTCGGGAGGGACGGGCTACTTTGCCATGTGGAGAAGAGGAAATAGGGGACCTCATCATTACGTAGGGTTCAACATCTGCAGGGATATGTGGCTGAGGTGCCCTGTTAACCTGGCAAACACAGCTGGGTTTAGGCTGCATGGAGAAATAATCAGGAGGGGTAAAGGAGGCAGGTGGCTCAGCAGGTGACAATTGGTTATGCACAGGTACTGGCCTTGCTTTGAGACCACAGTACATTCTCATATAACCATCTGGGGATTCTTCCTGAGATGCTTCAATAGATTCAGAAAAAGGAGTCCGGGGCTGCAAGATCTGTTGAGGAGCAGACACACTGGCAGGGCTCATAGGCACATAATCTGGTGCTGCGGTAACTATGCCTGCCCCATGATTCATTGGCATGTACCCATTGTCCTCCTGACGACCAATCGCTACATCTGCATAGTCCTCTGGGTAGGGCTGGTATGCCATCTTTGGGGAGGAGGACTGGAGAGCTTGGCTACCTTTATACGTGGCACGAATCAAGGTGGCTTCATCAAGAGATGCAGAAGAAACTTGAGGCACTGAAACACTCTGTCTTCCTGGGGTGGTCAGGGAGTGAGTCCTCTTCCTGGGACACTTCTCGGACCCAGATCCTTCTAGCCGACGACCAAGACAGGTACAGACACCTTGTAATGTTCTGTCCATTGACATGTACCCATTCAGATCTGCTGGATGAGGTGGAGTGCTAGAAAAGGAATCTGGGGTTCCACTGCGGTAGCTCAGATATGTACGTGCAAGCTCACCTGGACTAGAGCTGTACTCATCCAGAGACATGAATCCGGTATCACTAGGTGAGCCAGATGCAGAAGCAGTGCAACTGGATGGTCGTTGTGGGATCAATGGGTCAGGCGCAGAACCATGCCCGCTGCTACTTCCAGATGACAAGCTGATTGAGCTAGTAGCAGGGGGTGGTGAGCGGGGAACAGGCATTGATATTGAGCGGCTATGTTGAAGAGGTCCTGGAGCTGGAACCAGTTTTGCATGTCGCCCCCCCCAGCTCAACGTGTGTGAACGGCTAAGTGGTGCACGTAAAATACTGGGGCTTAAAGGACTCCCTATAAGTGTCCTAGTGCTTAGATTATCTCCTTCACTGGCAGTACGGAGTCTTGAAGAATTTGCAGCAACATTAGCAGAGGAGGACAGTGGGGTGTCTGTGCGGGTTCTTCGAGTTATGCCAGTTTGACTAGGTGGCAGTTGGTTGTTGTGATGCCGTCTACCTGGCACACTGATGGGATTAGAGCTAGAAGACTGACTTTTACTTCGGGGACGGAATTCATCCAAATCCCCCATGGCTTTCATGGCCTCCAAAATCGTCTCATGGATGCTTTGGGCCACTACGGTGTCATCAACCTGCATCCAAAGCTCTCCTGATCCAGTGGAAGCAGAGCGGCCAACTTCCACAAAAAAGTAGCTTTCTGAATGACCACAACGTCGAATATTCAATAACTGCAGTGTCACAGAAGGGGTATCATTGTTTGGACGTAAAAGGCTGATACTGCGGGCAGACAAACACAGTCGATACAGTCCAAGTATACCCTTGATCTGACCCAAGCCCCTGGGTTTCACATTTACTTGCCAAATTTCCTTGTAAGCGGCATTTGCGGGTGTTATCATGCCATAATTAGAGTCTTCACTTTGCCCCAAATGGGTACTGCAAAACTTGCTAGAACTGCCATTGCTTGGACAGCAGCAACCTCCTGTAACTGCACATACAGATCCCTCTCTTTCGGTGCTAAGCAGTTCTGTGAGAGCCTGATACCAACTATCCTGCTCCTGCTCACTCTCTGCTGCCACAGCAAAATACTCATCCCGAGTATAGAGGGCAATCAGGTACTTGTTCTTGGAGTCTGCTCGTTTGTTGATGTTAAGGCAACTGTCCAGAGATATAACTCTCTTGGCTGCTGCAGATTTGCTTCTCCACTTCTTTTCATTCTCATAATATTCAAGTCTGGCAGCAGGGCAGCCCTCACCAGGCTCACGCAGCACGAAAAAACGTTTGTGGCCATGCTTCTGTTTCCGTAGGTAGCCACATTTCTTTACGCTACTGCTGTTGTTGTTGTTGTTGTGGTTCAAATTAGAGCCAGACTGCCCTGTAGTGGGGGGGCTGGCCATCCTTTTAGGAACCTGCCAACCAGATGCCCTTCACCTCTATTCCAAATGAGACTTGCAATGGTAGTAGTCTGGAAGATTAGGGATTGGTATTTTTCCAGCTGAGTTCTTTTAAAAAAAAAAAAAATTTATAATAAAAAAAAAAAAAGAAAAAAAGTATTATAAATTAAAAAGATGCAAAGTATAATGCAGCTGGAAAGTAGCTCTTCAGTCCTCTACGAAGAGAAGATTTTTTTTCGTTCCAAGTATACAGCAGGGCTTCTACTCCTGAACAGCAAGGTGCATTGGTACAGTTCAATTTAAAAACAAAAATCCCCTGATGTCGTAGTAAACGTCACAAACTATATGCCCATTCCCCGGGCACAGAAACGATAGTCGGTGCTGAGCTGTTTACACAAGGTGCAGCTAGCTATCAGGGAGAGGAAAATACAATAAATCCAAGACGACAAAGCCTTTAAAAAAAAAAAAAAATTGAAATGAAATTGTATACGTTAAAAAAAAAATCGTCTCAGTTCAAAAATAACACGTTGTAAGTCCTGGGATTTTGAGACGGTGTTTACTCCTCATAACAGAGGAGAGCAGCAATCGAATGTTAATAAATAGGTGCAAAGTGTGTTCTGTCTGGCCATGCTCTGCTCATCAGCTGCTCACACTCACTGCAGACGAGGTATTCTCCAGGCTAAGCTCCAGCTTGCATCGGTAACCGTTTATCAGTAAATAGCACATCGCATAGAATGACTGAACTAAAGAAGCAAAACAACATGTGACGTACTAAGTTACCGACACTGGAAAAAAAAACACCACACACACACACATACACATACACACACTGGCACTGGGAGGGGAGTGGGAGGAGGTAATGAGAGGGGGAGAGACCGTCTATCAAGCTGCGTTTCACACAGGGATTGATTGCTGGAGGAGGGAGGGCTGTGCTACGCACCGTATATGATAAAAAGAGGGTGGCCCTTCCATGTGCCAACGCAGTGCATCCCCTCCCTCAGTGTACCACCTCCTCCCCCCACCTCCACCCCCCACATGAGCTGTCAAGGTCCACATCGTATGGAAATTACACGGGTATTTTTTCTGTGTTTATGTCGATTCTCCCTCTCTCCCACCCATTGATGAAGGCAACATCTGTGACTGAAGAATGTGATGGACTGCAACCCCTATCATGCACAGAATGTCATTGCAGGATTTGCAGTCTCTGGTACCCTCCCCCTCCCCCCCATAAAACAATTATATATGTAAACACGACTATTAGCGCATAGTGGGGTTTAATGCAAAATAGGAATCACCAGAGGTACACAGACATGTAATTCCCTGTACAAATGTAGACCCTAAAGCTGTTATAAAACTACACCTGGCTGCTACAGCATCATGGGAGTTGTAGTATTTCTAGCACAGCCAGGGGTCCTTTGTATATGAAGGTCCATGTCACATTTACGAGGGTAATCCTTGGTTTGGCCATTAACGCATAGGTTTTCATGAAGGGTTATGTAAGAGTATCACTACCAAAGATTATATACACAGACAGGAGCTGGGGATATACCTGCTGGCCACCCCTTGCTAATCTGTCTGCATTGTGCTAGCCGCCCTACAGATGATGTGTTAATATGAATAATATATTCTAGACTGGGCTTTATTGGTCCTATTACTAAACCATTGCTCACCACTGGGATGCCATACACTACCTGGCAAGGAAAGAGTTAACTGTGAGGATTTTCTCTCTCTCTCTCTCTCTCTCTCTCTCTCCAGAGGCGGTCAGCACTTCTGGAGCGGCCGCTGTGGTTTTCAAAGGAAGGGGAACAGATGATTTTTGCTTATGCAAGGAATGTCTCTGCTGGTGCTGCTGCAGTGTCTTTTCCCTGCAAGCCCTTATTCCTCTTACAAATGCAAGCTGGAATTTATTGAAACCACGTCAGCCTCTGAATTGGAACATTCGTTATTTGCTATCAATTGGAATGTTTGTCAGTTTGTTAAATTTTACTCATACTGTTTCTAATGTTCTCTAGCCACAAGCATTGCGTTTATACACACAGCTACAGTGAGATCCCATATTTCGAGTATGAATTGCATGTCTGGGTGTGTGCTTACACTTTCTGCAGTGATTCATGTTTATACTGCAGAATAGATACTTGCCTTTTTTTTTTTGGCTTTTTATGGGTTAACCTTTTCCAATGTGGGATGTCTCCCCCTCCCCCTGACAGTCCCTTCCTCCATCAGAAAAGGGGAAAAAAAAACACAACAAAAAAGAGGTGAGGGAAGACTCTCTTGTAGATCCTCATTAATCAGGACTTGTTTTGTATAATCCTTTACTCAGAAATACCACACAGACAGGAAATGGACTGTTGGGATATTTTATAACTAAAATACTGTACATTGTATATTATAATAGTATGTATGTTACTGAATGTGTCACGGCATTGCGGTGCTTGCTATATATCTAATTAAAGAGATCCACTCTCACCAGAATCCTTCCCTTTGCCATTTTGTAAAACCCGTGCAAGTCAGGACTTAGGTTTCACAAAGGATTATTTTTATATGCCTTGGGAAAGATTTTTGAAGTTGTAGACTCTAAACAAACGCTAAGGGGAGGCTCCCTGCTTGTTTACCAGGATCACAATGAGTCATGCTGCTCCCAGTAGATTTTTAGTACTACGCTCTACACCTTACTGCAAAACAGTGACGGGTTTGTTATGCGTAATTCAATGTGGGAACATCTGATCTGAATTGCTGATCAGTGGTGATGCAGCTTTTAAGTCTGTCATTTTCGAGCAGTGGTTTGCTTCTGACACATCCAGGGCTGAAGTAATTGACACTGTAAGTCTATACACCTAGTACTCACTGGACAGTGTTTATGTCTGCAGGTGAATGGGGTGTGCATTTGTGTAATAATAGGCAGTTTTCGTACATGGGAGACATCAAGCCTTTTGCAAGTATACACAAACAGTAGTGATATCATATCACATCACATACACACGGTGTGAATGTCAAAATACATGATTTTATTTATTTGTTAACTTACACTGTGTACAAGTTTCACAGCACTAGTTATATTTTTCAAAGGGTATATAGAACCCTGTCCCAGGGTATGCTGCCCTAACAGTAAACACATTCTTCTTCACTATCCTAATATTTATCATGTACTCCACTGAAAGTTTGGCCCAGATAACCCCATCTCAACCAGACATGCAATTCTCATATTTACTAAAGCAAATCTAGTTGAAGTTTGGTTACTTAAACCATCCAGTTTTTTTTTTTTTAAATCTGTGTAATTCTTACACTTGAATCCTATATAAAATATAGGATTCACTTATTTGTGTGAGGGGCAACTAAGGCCGTAAAGGAAGTAAAAGGGGAATAAGTCGGTTGAGGTGTGCCGGAACCGACGTCGTGGGAGGCCTGTAATAAAAGAGGGCAAAAATGGTGTACCTGTCAGAAAACAAAAACAATCAACAAAACCTAAAAGCCTAGCTGTATGATAAATGCCAAGCGAGGAAATAGTTGCCCAACACTTTAACCGGTGCTCTTAATTGTGCCAGGGGGAAGTAAGGTATATTAAACGTGTTGGCCCCCTAGGGTAGATTAAATGTGGGGTAGAGAAGGTAATCAATAGACTGCATGAATAGGTAAGACCTCCTAAAATAATGATGCAAGGAGGACGTGGTGGCTGTGGGAAGGTATGTGAGACCCAAGAAACTATGGAAGCAGGGATAGCGGCTCAACAACTAGATTACAAAGTTAAAGTGCCCATCAAGTACGGCCTTCCTCACATTTGTGTATAAAAACAGTTGATCCAAAATAAGGCGAAAAAACACAGTTTGAAGCGCTGCCAATTTGCAACAAGCTGGGAAAAATTCCTTCTTGACCCCATAATGGCAGTCAGATATTCCTTGGATCAAGCAGTTATGCCCTACATTGAAGGTTGATGCCCGGTTCGTAGTGATGGGCATTTAATAAGACTGATAGTGAAAGAGATACTTAGATGTAGATGTGAAATATGTAAATCTGAAATTTCCTGGAACCTGAAACACCTTGAAGTATGCTAATAGTCTGGAATGAAGACATGAAACTGCGTATGAATGGTAAACCTGTACAACATGTCGAGTTGTGAACCATATAGGAAGCGTTGATGCGAGTTAGAGGTGGCAAAAGAAGCAAAACACAAAAATGCAGACAACATAGCTACAGAAACAGTATCGGTATGCGCGAAGAAGGAGCCTCAAAGGGGAAGAAGGCCCGAACACATGAACCGCGAGCATCGGAAAAAGAGCCAGACGTGAGAGATGACGACTACGAGCTAACCAGGCTGGCAGCCCATGGTCGGGCCCCCGAAAGGTGCCGGAGGTCCGGATCGGAACCAGCCAAAGTGGCAGACACCGGTTACCCCAAACTGCCAACCGACACCGCCCCATAGATGACAGCAACAAAGACAACCAGGAGGCAAAACGGACAAGAGCGAAACTCGGGGGCCCCTCCAGCAACAGCGTTACCCATGGAGTGCGAACTGAGAGTTCAGCTCTCTAAAAGGCTGCCGGATGGAAAAAAAAAAAAACTTGCGAGAACCGCAGGGAAGCAAGGAAGGGCCCAGGACCCGAAAAAAGTAGGAGTAGCTGAAGCACCACAGCGTGATTGGTACCAGACCAGGCCAGAGAGCCCGGGCTGACAATACCATGCCAACGCCTAGCAGCGGAGACCTGCTAGAAAAAGAGACGAATAGGCAGCGCATAAGCGACCCAATGGGTATGTGTGTGGGAATGTGTATGTGTGCTGGCAAAAGGCGAAGCAATTAAAGCTAGGTTTGGTGACAGGTGAGGCCCTGCTAGATGCCAAGCGGCATGAGAGGCTCTATCTATGAGTTGGCGCGAGGGGATAACGTGGCCACTAAACGTTGTGGCGGGGGGTTGGCCTCTCGGTGACAGTTAGACACAAGATAGAATGGGAGTGACAGGTGAGGCCCTCCCTATGCCACAATGCGAGGCGACTAACTATGATTTGGCCCAAGGGGCGTAGTACCTCCGAGTATGAGGATGGGTGTTGGCCTCGCGGGACCGCTAACCTAAGGCGAAGAAGCCAGGGGGGAAAATATAAAACTAGTGGACCCTAGGACCCTGACAGCCAGCCACAGCTAACTAAAAGGGGAGGGAAGGGAGTGTGAGAGAGGATGGATGTGCTGAACGTGTATCGAAAACGTGAGGGTGAACGAGAAAAATACTGCACGGCCGATCATAACCGAAAGCAAAGTAAGCATGTCAGAGTCCAGGCGTACAGGCTGAAAGGAGCAAGCCTCGCAGTAGGTAACAGAACCACGTTGGTGTAAACCCCACAGGGGTCACGAAACCCAGTGCGAGTGTGTGTGCGTATGTGGGAGTGCTGGCATACTAGCTAAGCCAAAAGGCGAAACAATTAAAACTTGGTTTGGTGACAGGTGAGGCCCTGCTAGATGCCAAGCGGCGTGAGAGGCTCTATGTGTTGGCGCGAGGGGATATCATGGCCACTGAAACGTTGTGGTGGGGTGTCGGCCTCTCGGTGACAGCTAAACATAAGATAGAATGGGAGTGACAGGTGAGGCCCTCCCTATGCCACAATGCGAGGCGACTAACTATGATTTGGCCCGAGGGGCGTAGTACCTCCGAGTAGAGGATGGGTGTCTGCCTCGCGGGACCATTAACCTAAGGTGAAGAAGTCAGGGGAAAATTACCACTATTGGACACATAGGGCCCTGACAGCCAGCAACAGCTAAGAGGGGAGAGTAATGAGTGAGAGAGGGGACGTATTGTGTGAAATACGTAGGAGTACACAAGGAAAATGGGAAAAGAAAGCTGAGTTCTCCTTCGTAAAACAATCTAAATAGAAAAAAAAAAAAGAGTACCTGAGCAGTACCGACCTATTATAATGGTCCCTACCTTCCTCCCGAAACTGCACCCAAACACAAAAAACTGTGGCCACCTGGATGCATGACTGCCAGCGAATTGTAAGAGCAAGTATTAGATTTGGCTAGAGTCTGACTGTGCGTTCCATAGAGTGGTAAGTATACTGCTCAGACTGTTACTCCGAATGTCATCCTATTACCTGGCAGAGATGAAATGACTCTCACCCTTCACTGACAGGCAGACACCCTGTGTTTTCCACTAGTCCTGGCAGATAAACACTGGCTTCTCATCACCAGTCCTTGGGACATCTGAGCTCCCCTGACTTTGTAAAGCCAAGACTTGGAAAAAAGGACTACTTTGCACTGGCTACTCCCTGAGTGACTCCTGTAGACAGTCTCTGAGCTCACCAGCTGGGTGCTCTCAGCAGTACTGGGAGCAAGAAAAAGTCCTGCAAGCATCCCCTCCTTCACTGGGATAGTAACCTACCCCTATATTCCTCCCCTAGCTGCACTTGGATTACTTTTTTTTTTTGCGTGCTCATGAACAGTTGTACTGGAGACAGACCTGTTCTGCTGGACTTGGAGAACCTAACACCCGAATTCAGGAAAGGCTGCACCTCTGTGATCTCCCTCTCCCCCGTGACACAAACCTGCATTCGGATCTTCCCTTGGACAGAAACATTGAACCGCCCGCCGGAAAGAGAAAAGCACAGCAAGCCGAGCCAACCGCGGAGGCGAGCAGCGCCGACCCCTCCCCCCAGAGACACGGCCGAGGCATACCCGCAAGAAATCCCTACCTGCCCACAAGACCACAGCAAGCAGGATGCCCGCAGAGGCCATTACAACCGCACCGGACGGCAAGAGAGGGAGTCGAGCCTCAGGAGGACTGCGGACAAAACGAGCAGCCGGGAAACCTCAGGCCAGGCGATGGAGCCACGAGGTAAGTGGGAAGCAGTGACGGCTGGAAATAGCGACATGCGAGTCGCTAAGAAAAAATAAAAACTTACGGGAAGGAGGAAGGTGGGTAGGGGGGTTTAAATAGGTGCCATACCCCTCCCACAACTGCAGGCCAAGCCTTTACATTTATCAAAACCTAATTTCAACTGGATTCACTCTGAGCAAATCTGGTAGAAAGCATATTTACCAAAACAAACTCACCTGGATTTTTTCAGGTAAATCTACATAAATTCACTGGCATAATAAAATGCTTTAGCGTGTATTAGAATGTCCTGAGACACATTTTGCCTGTACCTGAGTTCAAATGTGGTTCTACCAAACTGTGTAAATTTGCAGTGGGTTGTGGCTAAATATGTTGAATCTAAGCATACAGTTGCATAGTTCCATGATTGTGCATTTCAGATATTTGTTGATTTGGACAGGCTAAAATCTGGCACTACTTTGAACAATGTTGTGAAAACTTTCTGGCTATTGCAGTTCAAATGCTCCTTGATAGTCCCAGATAATTTTTGACAATCCGTGTTATTCACTAAACACCAGTACTTACACTACTCCAACCCTTAACTCCTTTGATGCCCTAACATACCCCCTGGCACCCCACTCACCTCCCCCAGCCTAAACTAGCATTAGCCTGGCAAAATAATTTAATATAAACGATAAATAATGTCAAATTTTTTATCGCTTATTATGATGTCTATAGAACATCATAATTCATTTCCATAATATTTTTCAGGAAACCTAGTTTACCATTATATATTCTCTTGCAGTCTCAAAAATACTATTATTCATAATCTTGCTAGTGATAAGTGATAAACTGACTTTAAACACAGCTAATACAAACTGTCACACAGTGCTGATTTTCAGATTGCATCATTACATTCTAGGATGAATAGAATTTTTATTTTGCTGGGACAGTCAAAATGTAGATCCACACGTGACGAATTAAAGGGACACTATAGTCACCAAAACAAGTTTAGCTTAATGTAGCAGTTTTGGTGTATAGGTCATGCACCTGAAGTTTCACTGCTCAATTCACTGCCATTTATAAGTTAATTCACTTTTCCTTCAGTTTATGCAGCCCTAGCCACATCACCCCTGAATGTGACTCACACAACCTGCATTTAAACAAAATGGTTTCAGATGTAACTTACTTTAAAAGTTTTTATCTCATGCTCTGTTAATTGAACTTTAATTACACACATTGCAAAGGTATTAACAAAGTGGGAGGTAAGAAATTCTAAATTAAACAGCATTTCCAATAAAGGAAGTGTAACATTAGATGACTTTCTACAGGAAGTGTTTAGGAAGGCAGTGTAAGTCACATGTAGGGAGGTGTGCCTAGGGCTACATAAACAAAGTGATTTAACTGCTAAATGGCAAAGAATTGAGCACTGAAACGGCAGAGACATGATCTATACACCAAAACGGCTTAATTAAACTAAAGTTGTTTTCTTGCCTATAGTGTCCCTTCAAGGTTGACAAAGTATATTATGGGATTTGGAGTTTTACAACAGCTGTAAAAAAATACCTTTTGTTTTTATTTTAAAGGAACACTAAAGCATTCAGAATAAAAACCTGTATTCATATTGTTTCGGTATCCCTGCCCCTAGATATATTCAGGGCCCGCTTAATTACCATAAAAATAAAGAAAATTTAAAGTTTTACCTACCATTTTCCAGGGTCGGGACTACCTCTCTGCCTCCCATGACTTCACTGAGGAGGCATGGCCTCTATGAGGAGCATTGGGGACCTAATGTGCATGCACACATGGGCGTAGGAACCCCCCAAAATCTGTGGAGGATAGCATTTTTACTCGCCGGGTATATTCTTATTCCGTAAACTAGGAGTTGTTTATCCCATTGTATGGAATTTGTTGGCGCTATATAAATGATAAAATAATAACATGAAAGGGTCACTACAGGGAAGGGGTTTTACCTTCCTGGATACAGTGCCGGGATCCTACTGATGCCGCGCCCCCTATTTTGTCAAAATGACGAAATAGGAGGGTGCGAGCAGGGAGCAATAAAATGCCTCTATTCAGAAGCGTCATTGCTCCCTGGTGCACATGCGCAGCTTTGCCGCACATGCGCAGATACTTCATAGTGCGGCATTCATGTCTCGACTAGGAAGCACCTCTAGTGGCCATCTGAGTGTCCACTAGAGGTATTCCTCAGCAGTAATGTAAATACTGCCTTTTTGACGAAATGGCAGTGCTTACATTAAAAAGCCTGCAAAGACATGCTATAGACACCAGATTTACTACGTTTAGCTGTTGTGGTTCTGGTGACTATAGTGTCCCTTGAATATAGAGGGGAAAAAAGAATCATCAAAAATGTAAGAAATAAAATGTCTATCATTATTCTAAAAATTATTTTAAAACAATATGCACATTCCTAGCTTAATTTTTAGCACGACATATGACACAAACATTTTGTACTTTGTAGATTACTTTTTATATTTTTTTTATACATATACAGATTGTGTAATACTGCCCCTGACTTAGGGTGACCACATTTCCTAACTGCCATTCAGTGACACTTTCAGAAGTGCATTCCATACATTTTACTACCCTTCTCTACCCCTTCCATTTATATTAGAACCACCCTTACCCTCCCATGAATATTAGAACCCACCCTACCCCTTCCATTCATATTAGTACTCCCCTAACCCCTTCCAATTATTTTTCTACCTACCCCTCTCCCCCTATCCTTATTAGTAGCCCCCTAACCCTTTCCAATATTTTTTCTACCTACCCATCTCCCCCTTCCAATTATTTTTCTACCTACCCCTCCCCCATCCATATTAGTAGCCCCCCTAAACCCTTCCAATTATTTTTCTACCTACCCCTCCACCTAAACCTCCCCCTCCCCCTAAACCATTCCAATTATTTTTCTACCTACTCCTCCCCATCCATATTAGTAGCCCCCCTAAACCCTTCCAACTATTTTTCTACCTACCCCTCCCCTCCCCCCATGATTAGCCCCTCCCCTAAACCCTTCCAGATTATCTTTTCTACCTTTGTCCCCCTCTTTTACCTGACATAGCAGGGGGACGTCTGGCTTGCGCAGTGTCAGACTGAGCGCCGGGTAGTCATGTGACACCCGGCGCTCCTGCGCGGAGGGGGAGGTGCTCCCCTTCCCAGTCTGCAGTGCATGCGGTTCCCTGATGGAGCTGCACGCAGCCCGAGGGCACCCGCGGGCGGCGGGGCTTGGGGGGATCTCTCTATAACCTGTCCCCCCTGCATGATTAGCTGGGGGGATGAGTCACCCCCCCCCCCGGTTCCTACGCCCATGCATACACGGTTAGTGCCATGCGCACATCTAAGCTTTCCCATGGGAAAGCATTGCATCAATGCTTTCCTCTGGGGGCTTCTGCATCTTGTGACCGAGTATTTCTTGGTCAGTGCCTCGGAAGCACTTCTAGTGGCTGTCAGTATGGCAGCCACTAGTGGTGGACTTAACCTTGCAATGTAAACATTCCAGTTTTTTTTTAAAAACTGCAGTGTTTTACATTGGAGGGTTAAAAGGACAGGAGCACAGTCATTGTGATGAAGTGGTCTGAGTGACTTTAGTGGTCCTTTCATTATTTTTATTTTTTTATCCATTACCCAATTTCTACGTATTCACACTTGTGTTTGTCAGAATGTACTGCATGTTTTTATGCACCTAAATGACTAGCAATGGGTTACCTAGGTTTATGTATACAAAACTGAAATTAATGGGTTAATTAATAGGTACATGTGAAACAAATATTAAAGCAAGTAATACTCGTGATTGCACACTACTTCAACTTAGAGCTTAACATATTGAGTATCTTTCTTGTGGGATGTTGTCATACATTTGTTTATGTTCATTCTATTATTCTTTAAGGTACTCCTACTGCAGTCATCTGTTTTGAAGTGTAGTTTCCATAGTGCATCAAGGGAGGCGGGCTTTGCTTTCATCTCCCACACACAGTAAACAATACAACTGCTCTCTGTGAAGGCTCAGAAAAGCATCAGCCCTCATCATCAAAACAAGCAGCCCTGTCTTCTGCGTAGTACAGCACTACGTATCACCCACCCCCGTTGAAAACCCACACGCAAAACAGTGGGCTAGTGAGAATTCCTAATCTCTCCTTATATGGCAACAGTAAAACATATGTCTCGTACAAGGCTATTTATATTATGCATTGTTATTATGTGATAGAGTTAACCAGAAGAACTAACATTTCAATATCTCACTTATACAATTATAGCCTAAAATGTGCATGTGCTATCATAATTTTCCTCTCAGCACTTTACAAAAAATAAAATCTCTATATTTTGCTTCATATTAAGGAAAGGGTCTCTAAAACGCAGTGCAGTGGGAGGCAAAATGGGGACAGATCTACCTCAGCTATGCTGCTCTGTGGTTTATTACACAGCTCAAGGACTGGGCTTACAGGACTGGTCCCAAGTCTGCCTACAAGGCCGGCCACTTATTCCACCTCCATCTCACAGACACTTAGAGCTGCAGTGTGTGTGTGTGTGTGTGTGTAGTGGATCTAGTGTTTGTATATAAGGTGCGCAATTTGTGTTTGTATAGTTGATGCAGTGTTGTATAGTGTATGCAGTGTGTGTTTGTATAGTTGATGCAATGTGTGAGTGTAGCATGTGCAATATGTGAATGTTGTGTGTGTGTGTGTATATAATGGATGCAGTGTGAGTTTGAAGTGGATGCCGTGTGTGTCTATCGTGGATGCACGTGAAAACAGTTACCAGAGCAAAAAGAGGGTGTTGATGAGATCTGAGATTCTAGGTAGGTTGTATGGTCTTACAATGTTGTCTTTTTTTGACTATTCAAATATTTATATGACATGGATGAATGCCCTTAAAATCCCAACCACCCTGTTTTTGAAAGATTCCAAGCCATGGCTGATCTGAATCTAATGAAAATGGAATGCACAACTCCACCCACAAAGCTGTTAATAAAGCTGTCATTAGGCAGATAGTAGATACATTGAATAGTGATAATGATGATAATGGAAACATTTATATACCACTCAACGCCTAGCTTTGTGGC